CCATTTCAGACATGTGGCCATAAACAATTCCTGCAACTGTTCTTCACATGTTTTTGTCTCCAGGCCTTTAATCGTTTTAGTTCCCCTTCTTTGCCCTTTTTGCAGGGTCTCAATATCTGTTTTGTAAAGTGGTGACCAAACCTGGATGCAGTATTCCAGGTGTGGTCTTACTAATTTACTTGCTCTTTATAAAGCTATACTAATACTTTTTGTTATTTTGATTCTACATCTCTATTTATACAACCAAGGATTATAATAGCTTTTTGGATGCTTTTGCACAATGATGGTTCATGTTTAAGTGATTGTCCACTTGACTCCAAGGTCCCTCTCACAGTTAACTGTTTTTGAGCCAGGTTTCACCTAATCTGTATTTGCACCTTTGGATTTTTCTGTCTACGTGTAAAACCTTTCTTTTCTCCACACTAAATTTCATGTTGTTGGATAGGGCCCATTGTTCAAGTCTGTCAAGATCTTTTTGGATCCTGAGCTTGTCTTCTGGGGTGTTGGCTATTCCTGCCAGCTTAGTGTCATCTGCAAATTTGATGACTTCCCCTTTTATTCCCTCATCTAAGTCATTGATGAAGATTTTGAAGAGTTCTGGACCTAAAACAGAACCTTGTGGTACCCCACTGTTTACTTCCCTCTATGTAGATGTAGTACCATTAAGGAGTACAGTTTGTCAGCTAGTTACAAATCCATCTGGTGGTGATGTTTTGTAATGTTGTGACCAAACCTGGATGCAGTATTTCAAGTGTGGTCTTACTAATTTACTTTCTCTTTATCAACCTAATACTTCTTGTGATTTTGATTCTACCACTCTTATTTATACAACCAAGGATTGTATTACCTTTTTTGCATGCTTTTGCACGCTGATGGTTCATGTTTAAGTAATTTGCCATTCGACTGCTATATCCCTCTCAAAGTTAACTGGCTTTGAGCCAAGATTTCCCTAATCTTTATTTGCACATTTAGTTTTTCCTGCCTATATGTAAAACCTTCCTTTTCTGCACATTAAG